CTCCCTGTTTACTCCTACCCCTCCATTTATTTGATACTTTAGATTACTAGAACTTGCACAACATACAAAATCAGTAAAATAATGAGTTTTCCAACATTTCCAACACTAAGAGCCACAAGAGCTTGTGCAATAAACAAAGACAATCTATAGTTCTATAAATAGCTCTTACTATTTACCTTCAAAACTTGTGCAATACACAAAGACAGGTTAACATTTCTATTTATAGTTTCCTCATCATTCACGCCTACCACACACAAAAACAAAGAGACATTAATCTGTTAAGCAGACCCTGAGAGTGGGAGGTTGGCAAGTGCTGTGGTGTGGTTTGCTCCTTCTTTCCTATCAAACATCTATCCTCCTTATCTCTCCTCATTTTTTGGGGGTGTTAGTTACTCTCTTGCAACACATCTAATCTTCGCCACTTAAATGACCTTATTGTGTAGCAATTGCAAGTGTTGTAAAACTCTTGCTAAAACTAAAAATAGACCCTGAGTGACTGACCTTGAGAGCTTGTGCAATGTGCTCGGGTTTGATCACAATTGACCCCTTGTAGGCCTTGATCATGTCCAGAATCTTCATCAAGAGGTCAAACCCCGCGGTGGACGAGAATCCTTTCGGGTCTTGCAGCATTTGGAGAGTCTGCCCTAAAACCTTGTCAAAATCCAGTGAACCGAAATTCTTAAAAATCTGTTCCGACATGACCTTCATAATCTGCGCCTGAGCGTCGGGACTGGACAGTAGAATGTTCTGGAGGAGAGAGCTGAGGTGAGAGGTCTCCGACACGCTGGCCAGGTGTTGCATCAGCTTGGGGAGGTACGTGTTAGAGAGGGACTTCAGCATGAACGAGCTGTCCAGGAACGATGCAGGAGGAGGAGGAGGAGGAGGAGAGGATGACGAGGACTGGGTAGATTCTTCCTCCTCTCTTCTGGAAGAGGAGTCCGAGGAGTCTGGGGAGTCCGAGGAGGAAGAGGAGGAGGTGAGGTTCGTTTTCTGAGCATCGAGATCAGGGTTTTGCAAAGATGACTCAGGAGGAGGAGGGTCAAGGTTGGCCCCCACGCTGCGGGCGAACCTCCCACCTGTTGAGTCGGCGATGGTCTGGACGTAGTCGGGCGCGTCTTTAGTCAGGTGACCTCCAAAGATGTAGTGGTAGATCTGTGGGGAAATTGAGGGAGGGAGGGAGAGTTAAGTTTAAGTAAGAGTTTTACAGCACTTGCAACACAATAAAGTCATATAAGTGCCAAAGATTAGAGGTGTTACAAGAGAGTAACAAACACAAAAAAGAAGGAGGGGAGATAAAGACGACAGATGTTTGATAGGAAAGAAGGAGCAAACCACACCAGAGCACCCGCCAACCACCCACAGGGAGGGAGAGATAGGAAGGTAGATGATGGTCGGCTGGGTAGATGGAAGATGGATGGAATGACAGATGAATATCCAGCGGGACAGATCTGTAGATAAGAGTTTGAGTAAACAGAAATACATTGACACAATAACAGTCCACTATTGCCAGGAAAAAGGTAGAAACAACAGAGGGAAAGAAAAGAAGTTCGACCAACCAGGGCTGCCCTCTAACCGTATGTGAAATTTCTTGAGTCCTAAACCAAATTTGGGCTTGAAGTACAATTTAAACAAAAAATTGATAAAATATTATCTAAATAGAAGACAAAAAAAGCGCAGCTAGCAAAAGGACTTTCAAACAAAGCATCTCCTTACCTGCTTCACGTGGAGAGTGGAGTTGATCAAAGCATCAACTTCGTCATCAGGCAGCGACAAATTGTTGCGTAGAAACCTTTTAAACCGAACCTCATCATCCAAAACCGAAGTCAAGGGGACGTCTGGGAACAGAAGGAAGGCAGAATAAAACAAAACAATCGAACATCTTTTAATTTGTTTGAGTAAAACGAGGTAGATGGACACAATAATGTTCATTCAATGCTGGGAAAGAGTCATACACACAGACAGTCAGAAGCAACAGAGTGGAGGGAAATAAGTAGGGCCTACCAGTAGCACCCTCCAAACACCCATTCAAATGATGTGAGCTAATAGAAACTGTACATAGTAATATAAAGCTTACACAAAAGAATCTAAAAAGTCAAACGGGCAGTCCTAATAAAGAGAAAAAAAATACTTAGGGAAGCTATTATGATGAGAAGAAATCACTGACCATTATGGTTCTCATGATTAATTGGAAATACTGTCGAAACTGTCTAGGACGGCCACACATTTTTGAGAGGAAAAGCGGTCGTATTACTGTGTTATTATAAGGTAAAAAAAAAACATGCAAGAGAGGGCATGGGAAGTGGTTGTTTGTACAGGTGATTGTCTTATGCAGCTAGCCATTAGAGCTGGTTCGATTGTATTTTACTTCTCCATCCTTTCAATACGGATCATTTAGGAAACAAGCTGTATCCACAGTGCCTGTCAGGGTCTAGCCAGGCTGAGGGGGATATAGTAACCCAGCAGATAGATGGAGTTACTCCATACAATAACTTAACCATGGGGGAATCGAGCTCTTGTCTCCATTGTGCGATGGCAGAGGGCCTATCGGCTACACTTCACAGACGTCTGTTCCAACACACATGCAGACTCTCTCTCTCTCTCTCTCTTTCTCTCTCTCTTTCTCTCTCTCTCTCTCTCTCTCCCT